CCTCATTGAAAAGAGACTTCTGTGTCAGGGTTCTTCGACAGTACACAATCAGTTTCCATGTATATCCCTTTTCAGTACACAATTTGAATAGCTTTGTTCTATATTTGGCACTTTTGTTCGGAATGTACTCCCGGAAAATAACTCTGCCGCGCCAAGCAACCAATGACTCATCGTCACAAACTTTTTCTACTGGTGTGTAGACATTTTCATAGTTTTTTATAAACATATCGATTACTTCTTTACTTTGTACAGCCTTTCATTAGTATCAGCAGTTTGGTTGTTAGCGAAATGGACAAATTTCCGAATCAGCTCGAATCGATTCCAAGTTATCATAAAATCCTCCTCTCCGCAGTATAGTACCAGGTACGCTGGCTGCGTTTCCTTGCTGAATGGCTATACTTAGCCTTGAGCGAAAAAATAAACAGCCCTTATATCACAAGTACCGACAACATGTCGCGGATATAGTTCCTTTAGGAACCCACAGACCGATAGTCTCCACAGCAAATAGCACAAAAATGTAGTCATCATATCAGAGACTCATATTTGCACCACTTAGTTCCGACACTATGGCTGAGATCTATAGACCGTACTCGACTTTGCTCAGACTTTAATTACGAAAAACTTAGCTGAGTATATGCATTATCTTTGAATCTGTATTTATAGTTGTATCGGGCTAAGATTAAGCTAAGGCTATGCTAAGGCCGGCAGTCAAAATATTAATGGATGCTTCATTATCTTCTTGATTTTACTGTACAAAATTAAAAATCGAAAACAGCCGGTCCCCGGGCAGAACACCTTGCCCGGCGGGAGATTTCCCCTTTTCTTTCCACCGGCTACAGTGGTGACCCCGACGTGATATATAAACACGCAACCAACAACCTTCGGAAATTACAAGTTGAAACTTTCGTCATCGTCCTCAAGTACCCCATTCATTCGCTCCCGAGCAGATATTGTCTGCAGTCTTCACATTCTGCAAGCCATCTAGCTTTACAAAGGTTCATTACGGTACTGGAATAATAATGCTCCCTGTTCCCTCATACTTTCTGCGCTACCAGTGTGCAGCATGGCTATGAGCCTTACTGCTCGCCTCTGCTTCACAGCACTCTCGCAGATTACTTGCTTTTTTTTCGACTCACCGCAGACTACAAGGCAATACCCTGGCACTTGCGCATTCGTCGACATCTAGACTGCACTATCGGCCTCCGGTCTCAGCAGGGGCATTGTGTGGTGGCGTTGTCGTCGCGCCACAAGCGAAAATACATCGAAACCTAAATCGCGCTATCAAAGTTCCGAAGTAAAAGCGGTATATATAGAATAGCTCCGAACTACCACTACTGTTACTGCTGTGGCAGAACACCTTGCCCGGCTGATGATCTCCCCTCTTCCTTCCACCAGCTACAACATCATTTAGAGAACCGTGACGCGACAAACTACCAGCTCTTTTTTTATAAGATAGTCCGTGGATCCCAACTTATCGACGCCATTACCACAAGGACACAGATGAGAGCGAGTTTGCTAGCTAGTTTAAAAAGTTTCCCTCGATACTCCAGAATATTTCTTATATAATTGTAAAATATTATGTATGTTCATAAAGGCAAACTTTAGTAAAAAAAAAACCGGGGAAGCTTTGCCAACTTTACTTCGCAGATGAAATATTGACAATTACATTTAAGCATAATTTGAAGGTAATTTTAGCTGGAAGAAATTTTGGAAATAGGCAATTTTAAAGTCGTTTCTATTTGCACGACTTTTAATTAGTTTTTAACAAGGGTTATGAATAATAAATAACAAGTAATTTTATAATAACCGAGAATACTGCTTGTTTAATGAAAAGTATTATATTGGTTTAAGTAGTGAAAGCCTCATTTCTAAGTGGCGCTGCCCTGGTGGCAAAAAAGTAATTGCTTTAGTAATTTCATGAAACCAAATATTTACACGAATACAACAGATTGAAAAAACTAATTTTTACCGCGTTTGATTTAAGTTACTTATACTTATTTTGAATTCCCGACGGTTTTGGGTTGTTTACAGCAGACATGGTCACGAAGGGACTGAGGTTTTTGATGTCCTCATGTCATAATTAACCCGGGTTAACTTGTATATTATATTCTATGTGATGACAAGTTCTGTAACTATAGCAGTGTGGGGCTTCTCTTCCTAACTTCGTTCGCAGTGCTTCGACTTACAAACTGATGGCATATAACATTAGGTATTTTCGGGTTGCAGACAAAAGTGGGGGGTATTTTAATTTTTATTAAGGGATTTTATTTATTTTATTTTTTAATATTTTAATTTTTTATTAAGGGATACGAAATATTTCTTATAAAAATATTTAAATATCAAATTTTTCAGATAAAAATGTTTTATTATTTTACAACAAACACGTCTAATAATATCGTGTAGTGGTGGTGTAAGAATATACACTACATCATATCATCTCGTGACTATCGAGAAGATTCTGGAACTGGGAAAAGAGATAGAAAGAAAAGAGAAAGGATATTATAGGATTATCTGAAGTCCAAAGAGAGGGGAACACGGTAATCCTCGATTCCGGCAACTCATTTTGTCACACATATCTAAGTTACGACCCAAGAGCTAGTGTCTTTCGACACTACTCCGACAGCATCCCGGAAGTTAGTCTGAGCGAGACTAGAATAGTTCTCCAGCATCTTTAAAACGGCAAAGCGCCGAGTCAGAATGAAATTAGATCAAAACTTTTTAAAGCGGGTGATAAATCGATGTTAGTAGTAGTTTTATTCTTAAGGCAATCAAGTCCTATGGAAGAATTACGAATCGATTTAGCTTCTGAGCCGCGTCTACGTGCTGTTTTCGAGAAGCATTACGAATCATCTCGCACGTAGACTCGACGACTTCCAGGCTCCCGAACAAGCCAGTTTTCCAAAAGGACTAGGCACTATAGACCACACACATATCCTCCGGCAGGTTATACAGAAGACTTTGGAGTATAATCTGCCGTTATATCTGACGTATGTGAACTATAAGAAAGCCTTCGATTCAGTCGAAATTTAAGCGGTAATACAGTATCTTTAGCAGTGCCAAATTGATCGTCGATATATCGAGTTGCTGAAATGTTTGTGTAGTAATGTTACGATGTCTATTCGAGTAAAAAGCAAGAGCAAAAAACCTATCCAATTGCAGATAGGTGTAAGACAGAGTGACGTTAAGTTATGAAATTGTTCACTTATATATTAGTAGACGTTTCCAAACTCCTGCACTAGAACTAACCAACCGCTGAAGGGACTTTAGCGTCGACCAAGTTTCAAGTGAATTAAAGGCCTCCTTTTTTTCTTTATACAAAACGTTACCCCTACACTAGGATATTCTCCTGTATCGCAAACGCAGTTTACAAACATAAATTGCACAAGTTTAAACATCCAAACCCGAAATGATTATTTGTAGGTAGTACAAATACTAGTTCCGTGCGGGATTCGAACCTGCGGCCCTCAGTGCCGTAATTGAATGCCAAGCCACTGCACCATGGAGCCGTCGCTTCTCATAGACAACATACGCCACACATAAGTTTAGGTGCGAGATGATTCAAAACGACTCAAGAAAACATCACGTAGACGCGGCTCAAATGGGTAATCGGTATTCATTATATTTTTTCTTTCTTGAACCACACGACAACCGCCATGCCTATGAAGTAGCGCCACCATGGATGACAGAATCGAATAGCTTTTTGAACGATAAAATAATATTTTTTGTAAAATATAATGAAATTAATGACCTTTGTTTTATAATAATACCGGTACATGAAAGCACCTCAAGTGTATAATAAAAGATTACACCGTCCTCAATGTGTCAACTTGTTACTCGTATTTCACGTACGCGAATGACGGGCTAAATCGCTATTCAAAATCTCGAGTGTAGGATATCTTATTAGAAAAGGATACCGGTACGTTTGAAATTAATCATTGGTTATATCCTATCCTGTCAATGTTTTTCAATGCTGTTACATCGCAACTTTTATAATTTTAAGAACTATTAATTATTAAACGTCACACACTATTACTATGGGTCTTCACAAGTCCACTGCTGAACATATGCCTTCCCCAAGGAATTTCAGAAAACATGGTCCAAGGCCACCTGCGTCCATTGACTTCCCGCATGTCTTACCAGGTACTCCATCTAGTAGAGAACCTTACTTCCCCACCGATTATCTGTTCTTCGAGCTGTATAGCCAGCCCATTGCCACTTCATCTTACTGATCTGTTGGGGTATGTCGATAACCTTGGTTCTGCCGCTGTTATTCTCATTTTGGATTCTATCATGCAGAGAGGCTATTAAAATTACTAATACTTACGTTACCCACTCCAAATGAGCTTAAAATTCTTAGGTGTGGTTCACGACGTTGGTCGAATGGAATCCACGGCTTTTGAGTTCACGGTCCATTAAGCTACTGCCGCTTAAATTAATTAATACATTATACTTTTTGATAGTTTAAAACGAAAATTTTGTTGGATAAAAGTGATTACTGTTTTTGGAGCTGTCCAAAAAGAAATACTTCAAAAAAGAAGTAGAATACAAATATAATAATTCAGTTAATATGGGCTGCAAATAGGTAGTTCCGTCAGGTTTTCCCAGGGTCCATTCCACAAAAACTGAGCACGAAAATCTTCAGCTAGTCTATACTACTCAGACTAATGTATATTGAAATGATCCTTGACGATCCAGTGACTCAACAGACTCAGTCGCTCAGCGAGCAATGAGAAGATCCGTATGTAACTCATGACTGTAGAACATTGACAGCCTAGAAATTGGGTTAACATTAAACGCTGTTGTAGTGTATTCTATTTAATGTAACACACTATTTTAAAATTTATCGCGACTCTTTGGAAGTATGTGTGTATAATGTATATATATATATATATATATATATATATATATATATATATATATATATATTACTTATATCATATAAATTAATTTTTATAACATTTATTCAATTCTATTTACAGGTGATGTTCGTGTTATGCCCAATGATGCTACTAGTGCAATTTCTTGCCGTAGTAGTGTCCGCTACTCTCGCTTCACCCGCAGTTCCAGCTGCCCTTCCCGAAGACTACTCGCAAAATTTAAATATGAATGATGTCAATGACGTAAGTTTTTATAACTTTATAAATATATTAAACTTTTTTCTGGGCACGGGACTAAGTTCACGTAAATTCGTCACAAGTATGTCAAAATATTTGGTGTTAAAATAAAAATAAGTAAAATATCATGCGTGTAACTCACCATAGGATGAATATTAGATATATGGTGAAAACTCTAACTTCGAGTTACTGTTCTTCAAAGGGTAAAAACTAAACAACCTATAGTAAAACGACTGTGGAGCTGTGGCCTACTTCTTTTTCTGGGAAGTTTTAACTAATCGCGGTTGACACTTTCACACTGCTGTATTGTGTTTTTTTAGCAGAGGAGTTGAACGAGCATGCGGCTCCTGATGGTAAGTGATTATACCGCCACACATGGTACATACACACGACGCACATGCGAGCCCAGGCAGTCGTTTTAAATATGGATATTCATCATCATCATCATCATCATTACAGCCCTTTACAAGTCCACTGCTGAACATAGGCCTCCCCCAAAGAATGCCACAAAGCACGGTCCTGAGCCACCTGCATCCATCGACTTCCTGCATGTCTTACCAGGTTGTCACTCCATCTCGTGGGGGGATGCCCTACACTTCGCCTACCGGTACGATGCTGCCACTCGAGAACCTTTCTTCCCCATCGGTTGTCGGTTCTTCGAGCTATATGGCCGGCCCATTGCCACTTCAGCTTACTAATCCGTTGGGCTATGTCGGTTACTCTGGTTCTACTGCGGATATCCTCATTCCTAAGTTTATCACGCAGAGAAACTCCGAGCATAGCCCTCTCCGTAGCTCGCTGAGCGACCTTGAGCTTCCTCATCCGGCCAGCAGTGAAGGACCACGTCTCAGTTCCGTATGTCATCACTGGCAACACGCACTGGGTGTACAGTCTCTTTGTTAAGGTTTGAGGTATACCTGACGAGAAGATGTGCCGTAATTTCCCGAACGCTGCCCAACCGAGTTGAATCCGTCAATTGACCTCTCGGTCGAAGTTGGACTTACCTAGTCGGACTATTTGTCCCAGGTAAACATACTCGTCAACAACTTCGAGCTTAGTGTTCCCAACAACTACCGGCATAGGTGTGACATGGACATTAAACATGATCTTAGTTTTGTCCATGTTCATCTTAAGACCTATCCGTTGGGAAACACTATTGAGGTCATTGAGCATAGTGCTTAGGTCCTCCAGCGATTCTGCCATAAGGATTATATCGTCGGCAAATCGAAGGTGAGTGATGTACTCGCCATTGATGTTGATACCGTATCCTTTCCTTGTCCAGAAGCTTGGAAACGTCTTCCAATGCAGCGGTGAAGAGTTTCGGGGATATGACGTCACCCTGTCTTACACCTCTCTGCAATTGGATAGGTTTCGTACTCTGGTTCTGTACTCGGATAGTCATCGTAGCCCTACTGTACAAGCACTTCAACACTTCGATATACCGACAGTCAACTTGGCACCGCTGAAGGGACTGCAGCACCGCCCAAATTTCGACGGAATCAAAGGCTTTCTCATAGTCCACATACGCCAGACATAGTGGCAAATTGTACTCTTCGGACTTCTGTACAATTTGCCGAAGGGTATGTATGTGGTCTATGGTGCTATAGCCCTTTCGGAAACCGGCTTGTTCGGGAGGCTGGAAGTCGTCAAGTCTGCGCGCAAGACGATTCGTAATGACTCTCGAAAACAGCACGTAGACGCGGCTCAGAAGGGAAATCGGTCTGTAGTTCTTCAAGAGAGCGTTGTCACCTTTCTTGAAGAACAAGACCACCGCACTTCTGCTCCACGCCTCCGGTGTAATGCCACCATGGAGGACGGAATTAAAGAGCCTCTGAAGGACTTCAAGTACCGGTTTTCCACCCGCTTTCAGAAGCTCCGCTGTAATTCCATCCTCGCCTGGGGCCTTACCGTTTTTAAGGTGCTGGAGAGCCATTCTAATCTCGCTCAGACTGACGTCCGGGATATCTTCGGAATAGTGTCGGATGAGACTCGCTCTTGGATCGTTACTCACACTTGCGTGTGGCTCCAACGATGACGTGTACAACTGCCCATAGAACCTCTCAATCTCACTCACAATCTCAGGTGTCCCGGAAACGATGCTGCCACATTCTGTCTTCAGCTTTGACAGTTAGCTCTTCCTGGCAGACAGTACTCTGGCAAAGACTTTGGAGCCTTGGTTCCACTCGATCGCTTCTTCAATACGAGCTGTATTGAAGTTGCGTAAGTCCCGCCGCATGCATTTGGAGATCTGTCTGTTCAGATGCCTGTATGCTGTCAAGTCTGTTGAAGAATGTAGCTTCATCTCCCGTCTAACAGCCATGAGATTAAGAGTGTGATCGGAGAGTTTTTGTGTTCTTCTGCGGCGGGTCTTGCAGAACTTAGCTCCGACCGCATGGACAGTTTCCACGAGCTTGTCATTCATATCGTCCACTTCATTGCAGTCTTCTAGGCACTGAAAACGGTTTTGTAATTCGAGCTGAAAGGTTTCGGGACTTTGGATTAGAGCACGAGGGGGACGGAGCGTTGACTTCATTAGACGAGACCTCTCCAACTTAACATTTAGGTTCAGTGTGCCTCGAACCATTCGGTGATCGCTACCAGTTTTCACCCTCGCGATCACGGAGACATCACTGAACAGTTGTCGTCTGGTCGTCATAATGAAGTCAATCTCATTTTTTGTCGAACCGTCGGGGCTCGACCAGGTCCACTTCCTGTGGGGCCGCTTCTGGAAGAAAGAGTTCATCATAAAGAGTCCCTCTTTCTCCATGAAGTCGGCCAGCTGCTGGCCCCTTGGGTTCCGTTGCCCTATTCCAAATTTCTCTACTTTCAGCTCACCGTTCTCTCTTGTGCCTAGTTTTGCATTAAAGTCTCCCATTAACACCGTATATTGGGTTTTGGAGGAATGCATGGCTCTAGAGATATCCTCATACATTTCCTCCACCTCCTCATCGGGGTGTGCCGAGGTTGGTGCGTAAACCTGTATGAGCTTCAGCGAATACCGTTTGGTGATTCTGAGTATAAGGTACGCAACCCTCGTCGACACACTCCTTAACGTTCACACTCGGTTCGGATTTATCGTCCACAAGTCACTCGTTAACGAGAGACTTGTGGACGATAAATCCGACACCTCCTTGGGACAGATGGTCGCCCTCCCGGTGATAGAGCAAGTTGCCGGATTCGAGGATTACCGTGTCCTCCCCCTCTCTTCGGACTTCGGATAATCCTATAATATGCTAGCGCAACTTGTCCATCTCTTCTTCCAGCTCCACGATCTTCTCGTCGGTCCTCAGGGTGCGTGCGTTGTACGTTGCCAGGTCGAGTCGTCTAAGGTGGCAACCGAACCTCCACCGGAGATTCTTAGCACCCCCTGCCCCGCCGTTACCATGGTCGCCACCGTAGCCAGGAATAGCGGGGCCGCCGGGGACTGGGGGCCGTTTCTTTGTTACTGTCATTCATAGGGGGGTATTTGCCATAGTTGCCACGTTTGGCGAGCGGGTTGGCAACCGCAGTTTTTTTTTATTGTTAGTTTGTTGTTATCAAGAAGATGCTGCTGCTCATCACCTGCCTGTTTCCCTTTGTCGCCTTTTACGACACCCACGGGAGGATATGGGGTAGTGGATATTCTTGACCGCCACTACACGGCAAAATATGGATATTCAAATTAAGTAAATATGGATAATATATATATTGTAACGTTGTTCGCTATTATTGTGTAATAAAATATTTAATATCGTTAATTATAATAAATTACTTAATATTCTAAAGTCACATAGAATATTCGTTATGGTTCATCTCTAGTGTGGTAAGACCCTAATTTAACATGTAAACCTCATTCAATCAGTAAACTGTTCAACACTAGTCTCTGGTAATAGGTATATAAGCAAACCAGAATGCCCAGTCATTCCGTTTCTTTTTCTACAAACGTTCACATTTGAAAAAAATAGTGTGAAACTTGGAGTTCTTTTACTCGAGTCCTACCGTTATAGGCCATTGCAATGTAGCGAAGTGCCTTCGCCGGCCGCCCTACGCGGCTGTAATTGACTAGCCGTCCCACGCAACACGGTCCAAAGCATCTTTTTTCTTTTTTTTTAACATGGGGAAATGCCTACGAATACCCACCTCGCGGGGGCAAGGAAGGGATATGTCGGACTCGCACCGACTAAAACCCCATGGTGTTCCACCTTCGCCGCATATTAGCAGGGCCACGGGAACGCTTTCGCACACATCCGCGGCCCTATCAGCGCCGGCCACCTCATGGCAGCTCCTTCTGGGGGAGGACCGCTCCTCCCCATTCTTCTTCTCAGGCAAGGCGCACCAGGAACACAAGGCATGCCCCCCTCCACGGCCTCCAACTCCACCTGCGTATCGGACCCCCCCGAGTCTGATACGCGGAGGCCATGGGGCCAGGAAAATCGAGCGCCTAGTAGCACCCGCTTTCCCGACCTCAGCAGCGGAAATGGTCTCTGGCTCCACCGCCAACCAGGGTTTCGGCCGCGGAGGGTTGGGAGAGCGACGCCTCGCAATACCGACACTCCTCTCCCTCCGCGGCCCCACCACCACCGCATCAACGATGCGGCTCCGTCAGAGTCGCGGAGGATAGGACGAGTGACGCATCGCCATACCAACACTCCTCCTCCACCGCAAATCCACCTCGGCTGCAGCGGTAGGGGGAGAGGACACCCCTCTCACCACAGCCCACCGACACACATCCGAAGTGGGCTCGCCAAGCCCACTCGGAGTGGCCACGTCGGGCCGGTCCTACACCACGGGCCAGCCAAGGGGTTCTTCTTTATTCACCGCGGGTGACCAAGCCACGGCTACTAAGCCCCCCGCCACGACAAGGCGGGAACCCGTTCGGGGGGGGGGGGGGGACGGTCCAAATCATCTAGGCCGGATTACTACCAGCGAAGACTATTGTTACTCGAACGGTATACGCATTTTATAAGTACAAACCTTTGTTCGAGTGAGACGTAGGCTTGTAGCCCCGACCTAGCCGTGGCAATCTAAACATTGTTATTCTACAATCTAATAAAAGTACTATTCTATGACACTTCTGATTTATTTTTCTACCTCTATGTACCTACCTATAAGCCCTACACGTAACAATATTTTATTTTTATAGCAAGTGATAATTCCGCAAAAGCGTGCTGCATTGGTGCTTGATCGGCTGCTAGTGGCGCTACAGAGGGCATTACACGAAGGGGGCGGACAGCGCTACGACATGGAGCGCGAAGGGCCGCGAGCAGCACCGCTACGCGTTTCTAGCATGGAGACTAGTGACTTGGTTTGTATTTACAGAGAAAATGTTGTTTGGTAAATTATTTACTTGTTTAAATAAGAAAGGGCAAATCTAAAAATAACCTTTTCTTGTTTGATAAGAGGTCTTCAGATAACATAATTTATTTATTAATTACTAGCGATCCGCCGCATCTTCGCACGAATGATTTCTTGGAATTCGATGACAACGCCACCTACCGTGTCCAAATGTGAATCTAAATCATCTGCGGATCCACTCAAACACACACAAAAATTTCATCAAAATCAGTCGAGCCATTTTTAAGTTTTAGCGAGACTAACGGACAGCAATTGATGTTTATATATAGAGATATTTATTTATTTATTCTTTATTGCATTCCTTAAAACAAAAGAATACGAAGGGCGAACTTAATGCCTTGAGGCATTCTCTACCAGTCAACCCATACAGTGGTGAGAATTTGATGTAGGTGTAACAATATCGAATAAAAAAACAAAATAAAAATGATAATTAACTACGCAATATTTACATTTTACTAATAAATGAATTATACTAAAATTTTTAGTAGCTTTTTTTATAGAATTAGGGTGACAAACGAGCACACAGTCCACCTAATGGTAAGTAGTTGCTGTGGCCCATAGACATCTAAATCTATCTTCGATTACGAATCAAAATGCAGATGCGTTGTCACCCGTGAGGACTAAGATAGAATGCCTCGTTTCCAGTAAAAAGGGTCTCCGGTTCTCTACACTCACCATACGAAACACAGCAGCATTAATCTGCTATTTTACGCTGGTATTCTGTGAGAGCGTGGTCCTTCCCCGGTCGAGCGGACCCATTCGTATTACATTTATACTATTAATATAGCTGCAGCATGGCTCTACCACGTAAAAAATGCTGCTGTGTTTCGTACGGTGACTGGTTTTTAACAGTGGTAGAGCCACGCGGCAGCTTTTGCTGTCGCACGGATGGGCCGGCTCGAACCGGGGTAGTACCACGACCTCACAGAAAACCAGTGTGAATTAGAGGTTTACCTCTGCGTTTCGCTTGGTGAGTGCAGGTGGCCGGAGGCCCTTTTTACTGGAAATGAGGCATTCCATCTTAGTCCTCACGGGTGACAACGCATCTACATTTTGATTTGTAACAGAGGATAGATGTAGATGTCTATGGGCCGCAGCAACCACTTACCATCAGGTGGACTGTGTGCTTGTTTGTCACCCTTATCCTATAAAAAAAAGGGGTGACAACGTATCTGCATTTTTATTCTTAATTGAGGATAGATGTAGATGTCTATGGGCCACGGCATCCACTTACCATCAGGTGGACTCTGTGCTCGTTTGTCACCCTAATTCTGTAAAAAAGATCTATATTGTGAAATATGGTCATACTTACGAAACCCGAAAATAAATCTTATACAGTTATTGACAAGGCGTTCTAGCTTGTTTAGGAGATCTTGGGACAGATCCCGGTAACACATCTGCATAAACAATTGTAGGTAATATGAACAATTGGACAAACATGATCTTAAATTTTGTGGGAAGACAATGTTTTAAACGACACAGAGAACATAACGTGGTAATGACTTTACGATTCTGTGTGCAGTCGATGATTTTTCAAGCCAAGATTTTCACAGAATCACTGAACGGATTATTATGTTTAAAATGGGTGAAAAATGACAATACTATTTTAATGTGCGGTCGCGGTCTAGGTTGCTAGAACCAGATCTCAGAGTACTCGTAATAACATACACATATGTATGCAAATTACTTTGAGCACCAAATGGCTATTTTAAACTTTGACAGCTGACACGTAGTAGAATGATTACCGTCATGGAATTCCCTGCGTTTTTGTAGTTTATATCATTGACATATTATATCATTCTTTTTCAGTTCATATAATAACAATACTCGTAATTTAAAATAAAAAAAAATTCTACAACCGACTTCAATATAAATTATTAAGAATAACTCAAAAGCTATTAGCCAGATTTTGATAAAATTTATATGGGAACACATGTGAAGCACCAGCTTTTAAATAAAAAAAGAATCATCGAAATCGGTTCATCCAGAAAGAAGTTAGGAGGTGCACACATAAAAAACTAATTTGAATATAGAAGATGGCCTTGGCTGTCATCTTGGGATCCTAGAAAAAAAATATTATAATAATGAAATATAAAATAAATGATAATCATATAATAAATCATACAGTTTAGTCTCATAACATAATTTACAATATTTTTCCATTCAGCGGGGAAACGCAGCCAGCGTAGGGAGTAGGACTATATGATAATTAAGTTACTAGTTTTAGTTTTTTTATTATAGGTTTTAATATTGTATATAATATAAATATAATCATCATTCATCAATTCTTCTATCACACTTTAAATCAAATGGCAATTAGACGGGAAATGAAGTTTCAATCTTCAGCAGACAGGACAGATAGCAAATAGCATATAAGCAACCGAACAGACAGATCTCCAAATGCATGCGGCGAGATCTACGCAAGCTTGTTTCGAAGAAGCGATCGAGCGGAACCAATGCTCTAAAGTCTTTGCTAGAGATTTGTCTACCAGATAGAGCCAACTGTGAAAGTTAGAAACCGAATGTGCTAGTTTCTGGGACACTTGACGTTTTAAAAGAGATTAAGAGGTTATACGGGCAGTTGTACACGTCATCGTTGTGGCCACACGCAAGTGTGAGTAACGACCTAAGAGCAAGCCTCATTGAATACAATTTCAATGATATCCTGGACTGACGTCCAAGTCTAAGTGAGATTTAATGGCTTTCTACCTCGCACCTTAAAACGGCAAGGCCTCGGGTGAAGATGAAATTACGGAGAAGCTTTTGAAAGCAGTTGAAAAACCGATACTAAAAGTCCTTCGGAAGATCCTCAATTTTGTCCTCTATGGTGGCACTACTCCGAAGGCATGGAGCAGAAGTGCAGTAGTCTTCTCTTTTTAGTCATCACTGAATATCAGCGTTGTCGTTTTACCACAACAATACCGAGTAATGTCCTTTTTGGCATGCCCTTGACGTACAAAGTCAAACTTATTGAATCATTAATACAAACATACATATCTTTGAATAATATATGTTGTTTGTGTTAATGGTGTGTGTCAGAATAAAGTTTCTTTCTTTTTTCTTCTTCTTCTTCGTCTTCTTATCCTTTATGAAAGATGACAATGCTCTTCTTTAAAAATAGTTTTGTTAAATTAACAGATCATTTATTAATTAGAATAATTTATCAAATTTACAGCTATTTTCGATCAAACAAGGTATATGCATAGTTAGATATTTCTTAGAACTAAACGGAATTAAAATCTCGTTGCCGTTGCTGTATTCGCCATTAGACACAATGAATTCAAATGATTTTTTTTATAGGAGAGGGGGCAAACGAGCATGCGGCTCACCTGATGGTAAGTGATTACCGCCACCCATGAACAACCGCAACACCAGGGGAATTGCAGATGCGTTGCCGGCCTTTTAAAAAGGAGTAGGCTCTTTTCTTGAAGGTCCCTAAGTTGTATCGGTCCGGAAAAATCGCTGGTGGTAAACAATTCCACAAGGAAGTTGTGCGAGGAAGAAAACATCTTCTAAATCGCACAGTGGTGGACCGCCAATCATCCAGATGGTGTGGATGGTATCGGTAGTTCTGCCGCGATGTGCGTTCGTGAAATTTGGCGGGTGGGATTAATCCGAACAATTCCTCAGAGCACTCCCCGTGGTAAATGCGAAAGAAAATGCAAAGAGATGTAACATCTCTTTGCAGCGCCAATGAATCGAGCCGATCGGAAAGGACTCGATCGTCGACGATTCGAGCCGCTCTGCGCTGGATGCGGTCAAGAGGAAGGAGCTGGCACTGGGGAGCTCCTGCCCAGAGATGGGAACAGTATTCCATGTGAGGCCGAACCTGCAACTTGTAAAGTTGCAGACGTTGTGCCGGCATGAAATACTGTCCCGCTCTGCTAAGCACGCCAAGCTTTTTAGGGGCCAATTTGGCCTTCTCTTCCAAGTGACCACGAAACTGCACGTCACTCGATATGTCAACGCCGAGCATTCCGATACTGGCTGAGGCAACAAGGGGAATACCTTGAAACTGAGGAGATACGACAAAGGTGTTCTTTTTTGCGGTAAACGTGCAAACTTATGTCTTCTGAGGATTAAACTGGACTAGATTTAGTCACCCACAATCCGAGACTTTGTCCAGCAAAGACTCGATTTAGACACAAGTTTGTTCCGGTACTCGGCGACATTTTCCCGAGAAATATTGGCACGGCCGATGTATAGAGCATCACCAGTGCTGTCATCCGCATAGCAATGAATGTTACCAGTTAGCAACATATCATTGATATGCAGAAGAAACAGCGTTGGTGATAGCACACAGCCTTGTGGAACACCAGCGTTAATAGACTTGTAGTCAGAACATGCACCGTCTACAACAACCTTGATGCTCCGATCTGCAAGGAAATGCCCTGCCCCCATGTGTAGGAAGCAAAGAAAGACCGCATTCCGTCCCAATCCGCTAACCTGTAATGCCAAACACGGCGGCAACCTGCAGAACGCAACCGCGAGGGGAGCGTGAATGGCACCACACTCCGGATCAGACAATGGTCGGAAGAGCCAAGAGGGGCATCGACGAAAACCTGATATCCGTCCGGATGAGAGGTCAGCAGAAGGTCCAACAAGGGAGGTGTATGATCCTCAACATCTGGAATCCGCGTAGGCGATGTAACCAGTTGTGTCAGACCATATGCCAAGGCAAAGTCTTAAACAGATCTCCCCGCATGATCGGATAAACTTGAACTGAGCAAGTCGGCGTGGTGGGCGTTAAAATCACCAAGGATCACGCTCTCTGTGGATGGGACCCGTTGTTACAAGGAATCTGTAGCCATTTGGACGTGGTCGATGAGTCGGCCTGTTTCGGCATTACCGCTATGGGACCTATAGAGGCACCCGTAGACGCGCGGATGGTCGTCGCTGTCTACGTGTAGCCAAAGGATGGACAGGTCCGAACCTTCAAGACTGCCGAGTCGTCGAGAACAGATGACGTCTCTGACGTATACGCAAACTCCAGCCCGAGGCACAAAGTAGTACTCCAATTTGTACCCCGGGTAGGAGAGATACGAAGTATCAGCCGGAGAGGACACCTGCGTCTCGGTCAGAAAGAGCAAAGCCGGCTTCGCCGTCTCGAGATGGTAGTGGAATGAATGAATTTATTCAAGGCCAGAAATAAATATTTAATAAACTAGGTTGTAACTTTATAATGTAATCTCGGGTTCCGGCGATGAGAACGTTTTACATAACAGAAACCTCTATATTGAATAACATTTTTTTAATAGAATAAGGGTGACAAACGAGCACACAGTCCACCTGATGGTAAGTGGTTGCTGTGGCCCATAGACATCTACATCTATCTTCGTTTGTGAATTAAAATGCAGATGCGTTGTCAGCCGTGAGGACTAAGATGGAATGCCTCTTTTTCAGTAAAAAGGGTCTCCTGTTCTCTACACTCACCATTCGAAGCACAGCAGTTTTAAACTGCTATTTTACGCTGGTATTCTGTGAGAGCGTGGTACTTCCCCGGTTGAGCCGACCCATTCGTGCTACAACCATACTATTAATATAGCTGCAGCAAGGCTCTACCACGTTCAGAACATAAGTAAATACCAGAAAAATCTATCGAATGCATTTTATATAAATAATAGCTATTATGAAAATAAGAGCAGGTCCCAAGGCTTAAAATATAGCAAGGATCATGTCAAAAGAAACTAGATACCCAAAAATTATAATATTTATTCGCTTATTATTGTTACTGGTGTCGAACTTTTCTAAGTATATCTTAAGGACGAATAGACTTTTCCATATGTCTAAGCCACTAGAATAATACCACTAGATACCTTAGAAATATCAAAATGATAAGCAGCCATCTAGTACTACTGTAACAATATGACCCATCTTGCAGAGAATAGAGGCGACCATTTGTCTCTGTCTGCTTCGTGCATGACGACATTCCATTGGATTTGGCTTTTCTTTAAAGCACCAAATAGTCGGTTTGTTTCGGTACCATATTTTTATATAGCCATGTTTCATTGTAAGTCAGAATACATATGGCACATTAAAATAATGCGGTTTTTTTCTTAAATATCAAAGATTTGATGATAAGTTTGACATTTACAGAGCAAGAAAAAGCCATGATAGCTTTCAACCATCACGTGAAAATATACCTACAGACCAATGGTCTTTATGTTTTCAAAAATGGTGTGAACTAAATGTAATGGAAAATACTTTGAAAAGCAGTTAATTTATTTTCATATATATAAATTGTTTTATTGATGAGTTACGCAAAATTTTCAGTGTACCCCACGTATCGTAAACGTTTTTTCTCGCTGAATTAATTTATCATGAATTGCAACCAATCAATCCGATAGTCTTTTTATGTATCGTTGGAAATTGGTACAAATATTATGGTTAGAATAGAGGAATTTTATATTAAAATTATTTAAGTACATGTGAAATAAAAACTTTTTAAAAGTAGCTTAGAATGGACTTTCCATTTAGTCTTTCCATAAAAAGTCCCAAATTTTAGGGGTTAGAAAAGAACGGTAAGTGTACTGAATACGTACCTAAATTAAAGGTAGTTGGAAGTTTACTAACGGCACTAATATAAAGTCTTATTGCTAATTTAACCATGTTCTGCATTGAGGAAAAACGTCATAAAGAGACCTGCCAGTCTGAGGAAGGAAATATTTCCAGTACACGTTAAGTCCAAAAACTTGCACTGGAGCAGCGAAGCGAACTAATCGCTCCACAACCCTGCCAGAAATAAGAGGGACGTTTATAGGCTCTAACTTGACTACTCATTAGTCTGATACAACAAACGAGAATACGTTATAAAACGCTATAACCGTCGTGGCAGGTGAGAAAAAAAAGTCAACCTTTTCTCTAAATTTCTTCCAACTTCACCTGCACGTTGGACACACAGCTGAATGCTTATTGACAGACTGATTCGGTAATCGGAGCAGTATTACCAGTACTAGCGTGTCATCCTTGCCCTAATCAACTCACTTTCTCGGTGATAACCATTTCTAGTATTCTAGCTAAACAAATTGTTGAAGTGAAACATCGTTACTGATTTATTGTAACAAAAATAAGTTTTTATAATTTTGCAAACGGATTTTTTTAACATTTCATTTCGTATAATACAAGTTTCAGGACTGTTTTAATGAGTGTTGATATTTGCCCACAGTCTGCTCTTCAACGGCGCGGGCAGGGCTCCGGTCGAGGACGAGTGCTTCGGTGCTATTTCAACGCTGTGACATGCTTCTAACGTCGCGTAGTTACATTACGTTTTTATAACTCTCTGCAACCAATACTAAGCAAAATTTTCTTTCTAATTTTACATTACTACATTTATATGTATAAATAGGTAACAATTTCATTAAAATTTCATTAAAATGCAACGTGGTTAAGACGATTATGACTTTAATAATGTTATTTATCTTACTATAATGTAAATTTGTCATGTTCCTATTTTGTACGTATTTTAATTATTAAAATGCCTTGAAGTGTTCCGAAAATAAATTTCATTAATATATGCTTGTATATGAAATTGTATGTGCCTAACCTTTAAACTAAATATTTTTTTTATCCTTTTCTATCGCCTCAAAGCAAATTATTGTAATAGTATATAAAGTCTTTTATAAAATTATTATGGTATATGAAAAGCAATAGTGTTATCACCATAAGAATTGCAATTCATGAAATAGGAACAGTTAAGATCCTGATCACAGTTCTGTCCAGATCTTGTCGGAAAATAAAACAACATATTATCATGCGTCGTAAAATTATTCTTTACAGAAGAAAAGCCTACCTCTTTTGCATGAATATCGTCGATGATTTACGATTTGCAAGACGATGTTTCTAAGTTTTGAATTCTAGATACTTTAGTCATCTCAGTTCTATATATAATATATTGCTGGTTTTGTGGTCCGTATTCTATTTTTCTCTAAAAATCTTACTAACATTACAACTGTGTAAAGGCTCGTATTAGGCCTTTGTCTACGAAATAGCCATGCTCTGTCACTGGCTATATTATAGTTTGAAATTAAATATCTTATATTCGATTTTTTATTACAAATTCCAAATTATTTAAACATTAAAGTAATGTATATGCTTTTTAAAAATAGTCGTTGATTTGTTGCCCAGCCCTTTGTTTTTTCTATGATAACGTTGTTTTTGTAACTATGAATATTTATTATTATATTTATTTACGTATTACATCAAATCATAGCATTTTTACTGTTTCGAACAAACAAGGTATTGTGTAGTGGCGGTAAGAGTCCACTATCCCATATTATCCTGTGAATGTTGTAGAGGCGACAGATGGAAACTGAAATAGGAGACGAATAGCAGCATCTCTCTGTTAAGAGCTCAAAATTAATCAAAAATTGCACCTGCTATTTGACAACTATGGCAAAAATTCACCCTATAAGGCCATTAAACGGGGAGGCCTATATTAAGCATTGGACTTTTCACAGGCTATATTAAATGAATGAATTAAAGTAAATAAGATGCCATGGCAGGTAAACAAATTCGTGTTATTTGCGAATACGTGTGCTTCTGTGGCACCCTTCCATGTTGCGGAAGATAGGCAATATAAACGATATGTATGTACCAATGCGTTTTTGTTTTGGTCACTTCCATTATGAAAATTTTGTCTGAAATAACAAGCCCCGTGGGGTACTGAAGACTAAAGTCGATAATAAACAATTGTGGTGGAAAGAGAATCAATACAAACCAAGCCAGAGTAAGCAACAGCCAACTTAAGCTGTAAAGGGATAGTGATTCTTTTGATTAACATTAGGAAAATAAATATTATTAATGCGATAAAAGTATATATTATATACGCGCAAAGAGTATGAGTGTGTGTGTGTGTGTGTGTGTGCGCGCGTGTGTGCGTGTATGCGTGTGCGTGCGTGTGTGTGTGTGTGTGTGTGTGTGTGTGTGTGTGTGTGTGCGTGTGTGTGCGTGTGTGTGTGTGTGTGCGTGTGTGCGTGTGCGTGTGTGCGTGCGTGCGTGCGTGCGTGCGTGCGTGCGTGCGTGCGTGTGTGCATGCGTGCGTGCGTGTGTGTGTGTGTGTGTTTTAATCCATGAAGTACCATTACCAAACCAAATAATATTTTAATCCTTTTTAGCTTTTTAGGCGTGACTGATTGACAAACAATCAATGTTGGGTCAAACATCATGTTCAGTCCTCACCATAGGAAAAAATATGTTTTATAATATGAACTTGACGTGTCGGTGGCGGCGTAAATGAACACTTCACGCCTTTTTAGCCTGTGCGTCTCTGAAAAATTTTATGGATTTTGATATATGGCGGTATAAGCATTTCGTTTACGCCAAACATTAAATACCCAGACCGGCGACGGGTAGCAGTCACGACAGACAGGTAGCGTCAAGGGTGCAAGACGTCAGTTGCAGTGATCATCATTCCGAACGCCAAACGTAACGATTAGACTTTTACGAGTCGAAGAAGGAAATGAACTCTTGGAATTATCGTTTTACAAGTATCAATTAACAAGGTGTACAAGTATCAATTCTTTAATTTCTTAATGATTGTGTTTCACCGAGAGACAATATTAGTGAGTGTAAATAATGTAGTATAAGAAATTACTCCCAAAATGATAAAAAAAAAATCCAAATAACAGAGAGATTAACCGAGTATTGACGTAAGAGTCGTAAAAGGCGACAGAGGGAAACCTAATAAGGACTCAAAATAAAAGACTGCTGTTGCCAACCCGCCTGCCAAGCGTGGCAACTATGAAACCCCCTCCTCGCTAGGAGAAAATATATGGAGAAAGCCTATGTTCCGCAGTGCATTTTTTTACAATAGATGCACGAATAATAAACTAAGGCGTTCGCAAAGTACGAGAGGTTGAACAAGAATCAGCTCGACTGCCGTTATCAAGTGACGCCCAGGTTTATTTATGTTATTATATTTATGCTCCAGGTATTTATGTTGCTAAAAGAAAAAAAATATCACAATACTTTAAACTTTGCAGTGACTCTTTACAATAACATAAATTACCTATATTAAGAATTTCATAAATGAAAATTATTTTGTATGAGTAAATGCCCGCCTGCAGGGCTTACATAATCAAAATCAACAGCCTTTCTCAGTCCACAGATGAACCTTTGCAAGAATTCGTCAGCAAGTATATTTGGAAACTGCTCATACTCATCACGCTAGGCAAGCGGATTTCAAGAGCACTGTGCTGGTACTTTCACACTTATAATGCCCACTTGCCACCAAAAGCTTGTGACATTGCGATTCAACGTTATGAAGTAGGCAATCGATCAGAGTCAGTCGGTTTGAGCTAGAGCCTCATCAGTCGATCAACAAGGTGAATGCATCGTTTGCAAGTAAAATTGGCATTGGTAAAAAGAGTGTTATTCCTCTGTACATCTTTACAGGGTTTAAGCATTTGATAAATGTTAAAAAATATGTCATTTTTGCCATTTGAGCAAAAAATTTGAATAAATATAAAGAATTAGAATAAGTTTTCGAATAAATTTAAATGTGTTATATTTACGTGAACGTTAGTAAAAGTAGATTCATTTTCTATTTCACCGGTTTGGCTGATCAGATAAAAAGGAGTATTAACCGTGGGTTTTAAATTATTAAGTTGATTTTACTTATGACACATTTTCTAAAATATTAAGTTAATAAAAATATATAAGTATTTAAGTTTACATTGGTAAATGAGTAATTGCGCTATGATAAATAAAAATATTGTGATTTATAAAACGAACAGCAGCGATTATTAGGACACGTCAACGATTACTATTTCCACTAGTTTCAAAATAGTTTTTACTCATTTGTATATAATGTCCGAAAACGCACAATTAGTAAGATCAAATTAAATGGTCAAATTTCATTAACTACTTTATTACTGGATGTTAATTTAATGCCCTTCTGCGTTATCAGATGTGCGCGGCGGGCCGCTGTGCTATCAGATAGAGTCACCATGTAATGGGGGACATGTGAGATTTGGTAGTTACTAGTTATGCGTCTTTATTTAGTGACTAGAACAACACTGTTTACATAAATTGATGCATGATCTTGATCTTACAACTTAGGTACTCACTAGATAAGGCTCGGCGTTCACTGGCGGAACGGAACGTTAAGAAATCCTTTGGCGGCCCTACATGCAAGCGCACACTAAAAACAACTATGCCGCGATGTCCTTACTCTCATATTCCGATTTAACAGCAATCCGACACGACCAGTTAAGGATCAGGCACAGAACCAACGGTTTTACGTTCTTTCGGAAGCACGGTTGTGAGACACCGGTAACTTCCTCACTCTGAACTGATACTAAGAATTTCTTCACAGAAAAACCCAATAACTGATTATTTGCCCGATCCGGAATTAGTATTCGGGATAACTTGACCAACAGCTTTTTTTTTTTATAGAATAGGGGGCAAACGAGCATGCGGCTCACCTGATGGTAAGTGACTACCGCCGCCCATGAAAAACCGCAACACCAGGGGAATTGCAGATGCGTTGCCGGCCTTTTAAAAAGGTGTAAGCTCTTTTCTTGAAGGTTTCTAAGTCGTATCGGTTCGGAAAATTCGCTGGTGGTAATTGATTCCACAAAAAAGTTGTGCGAGGGAGAAAACTTCTTCTAAATCGCACAGTGGTGGACCGCCAATCATCCAGATGGTATGGATGGTAACGCGAGTTTTGTCGCGACCTGCGATGGTGAAATTGAGCGGCTGGAATTATTCCGAACAATTCCTCAGAGCACTCCCCGTGATAGATGCGATAAAATACGCAAAGAGATGCAACATCTCTACGCAGTGCCAGTGTATCGAGCCGATCGGAAAGAACTCGGTCGTCGACGATTCGAATCGCTCTGCGCTGGATGCGGTCAAGTGGAAGGAGCTGGCACTGGGGTGCTCCGGCCCAGAGATGAGAACAGTATTCCATGTGGGGCCGAACTTGCGCTTTGTAAAGTTGCAAGCGATGTGCCGGCATGAAATACTGTCTCGCTCTGCTGAGTACGCCAAGCTTTTTAGAGGCCAATTTGGCCTTCCCTTCCAAGTGACCACGAAACTGCACGCTATTTGATATGTCGACGCCAAGGGTTCCGATACTGGCTGAGGCAGCAAGGGGAGTGCCTTGAAACTGAGGAGATACGACAAAGGAGTTCTTTTTAGCGGAAAACGCGCAAGGTTGTGTCTTCTGGGGATTGAACTGGACTAGATTTAGTCGGCCCCAATCCGAGACTTTGTTAAGCGAAGACTCGACTTCAGACACAAGTT